GCCGACTTTGTGACTGTCTTAATGTGGCTCTGAAGGTTCAGGTCAGAGTCCATCACTATTCCCAGGTTTCGGGCTGATCGCCTTTGATCTAGGAAGCAAATTGTAAGGAGTTTCTAACTTTTAAGAGGGTCCAGGACAGCTTCCAGTTGGTCAAGCAGAGATACGCCTTATTTGAATATATTAAAGAGGAAAAACACGCCTTTACTATAAAAATTTGTACGCAGGAGTAACAAATCAGATTGCTGCCTTATCTTGCTTTTGTATCAGCACTCTCCAAAGACGCATCTTTGCCTTTTTTTTCTCCATCCTCTTCGTCTCAGGTTCTTCTGCAGTTTCTGTTGTAATTTCATACTTGTCTTTTATTGGATTAAACTCTGTAATTCTGTGACGTCTACACTCATCGTTGTTTTATGTGTGGTTTCATTTCGGCCCGCTGGGAGAACCTGGGATCCGTGACAAGAAGATTGACCCAGAGATTTTTCCTAAATATTAATAACCTTAAAATCTTCGGTAACACTGTATTTGAAGGGGGTTGAATAAGACTGTCATGACACTGTCATAAACATGACATAACACCTGTCATGAACATGAATAAGCCTTCATGAATATTTATGACTGTTGTCATAAAGCGTCATTCGGTGAATTATCACACTTTTAATACAAAGTTGACATTATTCAAAATGTCTTTGTTATGACAACTTGACATTAACCAAGAAATCATTACTGATGTAAATTTGTTATAAAAGTATTACTGATTGCACTTTAAAAATTAGGTAACTTTATGTTATTAAAGGTAAAGTTTGAACAGTAATGATTTCTTGGTTAATGTCAAGTTGTCATAACAAAGACATTTTGAATGTCAACTTTGTATTAAAAGTGTCATAATTTACCGAATGACACTTTATGACAACAGTCATAAATATTCATGAAGACTTACTGATGTTTATGACAGGTGTTATGTCATGTTTATGACAGTGTCATGTCAGTCTTATTCACCCCCCTTCAAATAAAGTGTTACCAAATCTTCTTCAACAGTACGGAGACACCCATCTGGCCTCCCTGCATGTTTTAGGGAGACAGTTAAAACATGCTTGGCAGGCTAACCTGAAGACCTGGATTGAGTGGTTTAAAGCAGTGGTCCCCAACCTTTTTATTATCGCATTTTTTATCGCAGCCTGTGGGGTTTACCCTGACTGGGAACGAGAATACAACCTGCTGAATGTGACAGGTAGCCAATCAGAAAGCGCAGTGACATAAGAACAGAGGGGAATCCCAAACAGCTGACATATCACGCAACTGTGAGTCCGGTGGATATTGGAGATGATATGTGGAAATGTTTAGTATTATATGTAAAGGTCATTATTATATATGTTTATGTTTATTCAATTAAAAATGTTTAATGAATGTTTAATTTATGAAAAAACATAACTTGCCTCCAAATCATAGTGCAGCAAATAGAGCGGCTGCTCCCGTCGTCTGTTATCCACCGCCTTTTCTTTTTGTTTCTTTTATCTCTTAACACTTGTGCGTGCGAGGACTGTTTTAGCTTTAAAACAAAGGCTAAAACAAATGTAGTCTTTGTATAATGTATCATTTTGAAATAGTAATATCTAACAATTACTTTCCAACAAAACTCTTTCCATGTTGGGCTGTTAGTCGGTTTATGTCCATTTTCACACACTGGCTCAAATTCTTGATCATCAATCAAAACGTTCATTTCTAGTTCCCACCTTTCCTTTGTCTTAGGAGGCCTCCCTAACATACAAGACTGTAAACATTTATATAGATTTAACAACGTTTTGTCAGATTTTTTTCTTTAGTGACCTTTATAAAGAACATTTCTAAATCAGCAGGTAGTGATATAAGAAGAGACCATCCCATGTGGGACATCAGGTAACTTCTCAACTGTAAAAACCAGATGAAGCACAACCTACACTTCTCTTGAATCTGATCAAATGATTTCAGAATCTCCCCTTCAAACAAGTCATTAATAAAAAATTTATTATTATTTTGCCAAAAATGCCATGCACACAACACTTGTAGTAAAGAACAAGTTTGTTTTTGATTATGTGTTTGACATTATTGGAAAGCTTAGACTCCACAAACCAGACTCTGCCAATAACTCAAAAAGCCCCGAATAGACTTGTTCATGGTTTTATCATATCCAGTCATATTTGCAAAACAGCACCACCGTTTTGTTTATTAAGATGAACACAGAAGACAACAATAAGTGAGTTAAAAGACCAATATTTTAGTTTGACGCTGAGTGTTTGTTAAATGGGTTAAGTGGTCCTCAGTCTGAAAAAGTTTGAAAAGCACTGCTATAAACCAAACAGTTTGAAATAACTGTTAATTAAAAGAACAACTAAATATCTCAGGTTTACATATTTCTATCCACTCATTGTTTAGCTGGCTTGTTGGAGAATCTTCAGTGTAAGAAAAAAAACAGAAAACAAGAAAATGGGTCCAAAATAGGAATGCACGATATAAATGGTATATGGTAGAATTTGGTCTATGGTGATGACGGTCTGAAGGCCTTTTCAGAACCACACACACAAAAAGAAAAAAACCTAGTAAACGTGTACTCCACTGGATGGAGCTCAGAGTAAAAACAAAGTGTGGTCTTTAAATGACCCCCTCTCTTAAGACCACTGGAGGGTTAAACAGTAAAACCAGGAGCAGAAAAATTTAATTTGCAAAATGTGTGAAAGTTAGAAAATACAAGCAATATACAAGGTCTCCCTTAAAATGAGATTTTTGAAGGAAGGCCTGGTAATGATGGGCAGCAGCATAAAACAAAACAAACATTACATACAAATAAGGTGTAATGTTTATAATGACTGTTTAAATGAGTTTTAATACATATACATTCCACTCAATTAGTGTCTGACTTTATTCATTTTTGTTGTAGGTCTTACACAAATAATATTGTGATACATATCATTACCGCCACCCATCACAATATGTATTGCGATATGAATTTTATGCCATATTGCACATCCCCACGCCAAAACCGTCCATCATTACTGGATTCTCTTTTGCTAGCTTTGTTTTATGAAGATTATGTTGAGTTTAAGCTGTTTTAAGTCTCAAACAATCCATTTTAGTGTCATATTGTATTTATCAGGATTACAGCTGAGGCATTGCACACAGTGATGTGCCTACAACACTTTGGAGGCACATCAGCGGATTGATCTTATTCAATCCATTTATTGTGCAAATAATTTAGATTACACTTAGGCACACTGTTAAGGAAGACCTGCTTTTATAATGCTATTTTAAAATAATGTTTGTAAATCATAAGAGGATTATTAGAGACATTTACCTTCCCAGTTTCATCTTGAGTCCAAAGCAGTAAATAAAAACATATGTTAATGTTATGATGGTAAAATGACAAACCAAGTTTTGATGAGTCGGGTTTCTTCCATGATAATCTGTTGCCCTCCATTGTAAGATGTAGCCAAGTATTAGAGGAATGCAAACTAAATTGCATTTCAGTCTGCAGATGTCTGTAGAGGCTGTCAAGTTGGATGACATATTTGCGCAACATGAAAAGCATTACCAGTCAAAAGAGATAAAATCCATGTCTATATTTAACAGACAGGGAATTGGGTTTCTTTTGTGGTTGTAAATATGTGTGGTAAACCGCTGGAATCTGAGCTGGGGCAGGGTTCACATGTCCTATCATTTAATTAGCACAGCAACAACACAGTCAAATCAAGAAAATACATGCAGATGAAAAACAGCTTTTTGTTCTTAATTGTATTTGTCTTGAATTGTGTTCTTGTGATATGTTTTAGGACCTCTTGGAATTTGCTTTTTTGTCTACTCTAGTTTTCTCAGGGTTCGTAAGCTGATGTGGTTAAAGATGTCTGCGACTCAAAAGTCATCAGCAATCTGCTGAGTCGGTAGTCTGCTGTCTTCAGATCCTGTATACTCCACCAGCCATACTTTCAGAGCTGCAGGGTACTAGCTTGTCTTCAACTTACGGACTGTCACATTACTGTGAAAAATTTTAACAAAGTATTCCAAATCTAAATGGGTTTCATTAAACTGTTTAACATAGAGCCAAGTAGAACAAATATGGAGCATTTAAACATTCAGCATTTAAACAGCACAGTTCCCTTATGTTTTTAGTTTAGAGCACGGAAATTCAAGACCTTGACCAGAAGGTCGTTGCTACCTGGATGGAGACAAAATTCATGAAGTTGGAGCTTTTGAAACAAGGGGAAATTATTGTTGACTTCTGAAATGTTTTCAAGTTTGACTTAAATCATGTGGTGATATGGGAGTGAACAGTGTGTGGGATGGAATTTGGGATCAGTTGTAGGTGGGAAAAAGACAATGGGCTTAAACAAAAGCGAAGTGGCTCTAATGGCTTTAGCCGGATGTACAACAGTAGAAAGAAAATTCACAGAATTTGGTGAGTGACAGTAACTGGACTGAACAACAAACTGAACATGATCACATTTAGACTGAAGGTATTGGATGACACCTATTTCTAAATCATCATCAAGATAGTTTGAGAATGGACAATGCTATCAAGAGCTTAAAGTATAGATCCAGTCAGAGTATCTGTGAATTGGTTGAAAACCTTACCAACTAGAAGCAGCACATCGTTTGGGGACTTTAACCAGGCCTGCATGTGCAGAGACAGTTTAGCAAATGTCTGTTTTGGAGATTGAGTGAAATGAATGAGCTGAGTCTTTTCTAGCAAAGGATCAGACCTCCTAAGAGCTCAGTGAGCTCAGATGGAATTAAAAGCTCTCTCTCTCCCTCTCTTTCTGTGTGTTTCTCTCTCGTCTTTGTGACTCTGCCTCTCTTTCATTCCCTCCCTTCCTTTCTCCCTCCCTCTCCTCTCTCTTGCTGTGTTGTGGTGCTGACGCTCTCCCCTCCCTCTCTTCCCCTTCCTTAGCTGTATATAAGTGTGGATGACTGTTTGGTGACGGAAAGTGACGGAAAGACAAGTTCAGGCCTCTTGGACGTTAGTTTCAGATGGACTGCCATGACCTCTACTGTGACCCCTAAAGATGATACTCCAGCAGGGGCAGGTGAGCTTTTAACCTTGTGATGCCACTTTTTAACCAGTAAGCTGCTGAAAGCAGCTCTCCTATAGATCTGTTGTTTGGCACCAGGACGGGGGATGAAGTATATTTTTAAATCCTGTGCGAGGCGGCACCTTTTAGTGTTACAGCATGGCTTGAGTGTTTTGGGTGATGAAGGAAGGAGGAGGAGAAAGAGGACGCTCTGTCATGCAAAGAATGTTAGCTCACCCTGAACAGAAACCCACAGAACGGAGCAAAGTTTTGCCGTTTAGAATTCAGAAAAGCAAAACCCATTTTATCTGTCGCTATTAGTTTTTATTCAGATGGCAAAAGCTGTAACATCTAAAGATTCACTTAGGTGGCTTTTGAGCTTTTTAACAGATGCTCTGACTCATAACCACTTACAGTAAATAGTCTTAAAATCCTGCAGCGTGGGGGGCAATTTTTTTTAGGCAGACAGATTAAAGCTAGTTACAGCGTTCTATAAAAGTTATTTTCTATTCAGGAGATGGTGTTGGTTTCCAGGATGTTGTCAGCACACAGACACAGATTAAAGTGACTCAGGTCAAAGATCAAATGCTGCAGTCAAGAGTCTTGATTAGTTTACAGGATCTGAGGCTTGTGGATTAAGCTCGCTGCTAAAATGAGACTGGAACAGCAGGAAGTCAGACGCTAATATCGACCACAAACAGTTCTCCAGTAGTCAAATGCTGTTTCCTAACAATTTATGAACAGCTTCTGTACCACATTGCTTCACTTCATGAAGATTTGTTCATTTCTTTGTAGCCTTCTTTTTGTCACACACCATTTGAGTCGGTCTGGATTTTGACTGAGCCATTGAAACCTTGATTCTTTCATCTGTCAGTTGTTTCGTTTCAGTATTTGGGTCTGTGCCGTGTTGATGACCCAGTTGGAGTCAACCTTCAGGTGTCAGACTAGTGGTCTTCCACTGATATACAGAGGAGCTCAGAGTTAAGTCAACAACAGCCAACAGTCACCAGCTGCTATACCCATAGGCATAAATCCCAGGAGTTTTATTCCATGCATTCAATGTGCAACATCTGGATGTTACTTGTGAAGCACTGAGGATGTACATAGTTGATTTTGACCGTTGTAACTGTCAAACTTTCTTTTACGCTCTCCATGACTTGTAGATTAAACTTTGGCAAAGTCCTTTAAAAACTAAACTAAATTAAGAAACTACAGCAGAAATCTGCTCAAAGTTATTTTGGTTTGATCTGTTTTAAACTCAGCTAGCTTTTTTTCTACTGTTTTTATTATTTCGTCCATATATTTTCCAGAAAAAAAATAAATTTGTATTGTCAGCAAACATTACAGACTTCAAAATACTGGATACTGCAAAAACATTATTTAAATAAAGTATAAATAATTTAGGTCCTAGGACTGAGCCTTGTGGAAGACCACATTTTACTATTTGAGTTTTGACTTTGCGTTGTTAATTTGTACTTATTGTAATCTATTACTCAAGTAACTCTTTAACCACTGATATGTAAATCCCCTGTAGGCCATACAGTCCACATTTCCCTAATAATCGTAATTTCTTGTTAACTGTGTGTTTTTATTGTTAATTATTCCCTCAGTTCACCAGAAACACTGAATGACAGAGGAATCAAGTCACAGTTCAGCGTAGTAAATGGAGGTATAATTTGGAGGAGAGATAAGCCACTGGAAATCCAAATGCGCGGGACCATTTCAGAGTCTAGAGGAAAACCTTCAGCACATCATAATACATTTAATGTTGTAATATCCCCAAATCTTTAGCTGATGTTGTTACCTTCTATGTAATCTGAACCCACTGTTATCATCTAAAATGTACATTTGGACAGGTTGGGATGTGTTGTGCAGCTGTTTATATTGAGGTGAGTGTTTGCATTTGGTGTCCGTTGTACCATGATAGTAGAAAAACTTTGGTCACACATTTGCTTATATATTGGCTTGTAGACATATCTGATGATGAGAGTCATAGATAAACTGTAAATCAATAAAACTCATTGAATTAAGGTGCTTAAATCACTTCTGTCTCCACGTGTGTAAAACCCAGCAGCTAGTCATTCCTTCTGTTGATGTTGCTACCAAGAGTAGACTTCTTACATGAATGGCACCAATAGGGCAAGTTCCTCAGTTGAAGCCTTCAGCATCTCCCCACTATTGTTATTTTTATATTACAATAAATCTTAAATTTAGCAGAATCCAGTAAAGTGCAAATTAAATACCAACTTATTTGATATACTTGCAAAAGTATATCAAATAGGCCATATTGTTTTTACTACTTGTTTACAAACCACCATTAAAACCTGGTTCATGGTGGAACTGACGGTCAGATGATTTCTGGTTTTTCATTCAAAGTCATGTCTCCCCCACTCCCTCAGCTAAATGTCGTACTGGATGATGAGCCAAATTGATCATATAATAAAGCACCAATGTGTTCAGGATGTTGCTGTGTGCTCTGAGTTCTACTGTAAGCAAATGATCATCTATGATCATATCTTCTGATCATCTAGCAGTTTTCACTCACTACGCCTCTTTGTCCTAGCACAGTGACTCCTGCAGCTTCAGGGTCCATCAGGCTCAATGATCAGCGTTCCCTCTGAAGGATCGAAGGATGCCAGTCTTGGTCGTCCCTGTACTCCCCTGGTTGTTTTCTTCCTGTGAGAGCAACATGAAACATGACCACATTCATTCACTGGAACAAATTTCTCAAATTCTTCCTTCTTTGCTCTGGTTAAACTGGGCCAGTCAGCTTTGAGTGTGACTGAAGGAAAATTCTGTTCCATGGTTATGTATCTGAAAATGTGTAGCTCCATGGACCTCCAAGGAATAATCAGTCCAACAGTCTCTCTACCTTTAATCTCATCCTGTTCTCTAAACCAGACAGACTGTGTCACAATTTTAAAGGCTTGCATTTGCCTTGCTTTCTGTGGTCCAATACTGATACTAGCACAATATTTACTGCTCATGAATTTAACATCCAACAGTCCACATCCAGTATGCAAGTAGGTTGCTTACATTCTTTTCTATTAGATTATTGAAATGTCTCCTCATGAGCAACAGTCAAAAGCAACGTGCAAAATATACATGAAGCAATCCAGACTTCTCAAAAAGCTATGTAGTTGCATTTTATTCATCTGCAGTACATAACTAATAAAAATATGTTTTCTCCATATTTGTTAAAGCTGTCATGATGTAGCAGTTTGTTATGAGACAGATAATCTGTGAAAACAATCAATCTCCTCCATCTCCTTCCTGAATTACTGGTTAAAGTAATGAACCGTTCTGACCAAAACAACCAATCAGAACTAGTAGGACGCTCTTAGCGTTGTCAGTTAGCCTCATTCACTCACTGCTAAATGCGGTAATGGTGGAGAAACAACTTATCATTACAAGAAACCGTTTATCTGCAGTCATTGGTAGCTATGCTAACTAAACTGAGCATTCACAGTTTGAATCTGCACAGCTCTGTGCTATGCTAGCTGCAGCACGGCACAAATATAGATGTGTGTTTTATGGTCTGGGAGTGGGAACATTAAATTTTTACTGCTAAAAACAATCTTTGAAAATATAATATGATTAATTTTGTAATTGACAGGGCCCCGATTTTTTTTATTTCTATGAAGAAAAAATAAATAAATAAATTGTAGAGGGCCCCCTGTTGGTCATGGGCCCCTAGAATTGTCATCACTTTTCCCCTCATTACTGCACCCCTGACTGTAACTACTGTAACAGTATCTACAGTAACATTATTAGGCACCTTTATTTTAATCCTAAGAAAATCAGACCCACAACACAGAAGAAGAGTACACTATAAAAAAAAGTCACTGTAGAATTTACTGTAACTTACTGGCAGCAGGGTTGCCAGCCAGTTACTGTCATTTTTACAGTAAAGAAATTACAGTAACTTTACTGTAATGTTATTGCAGTTTTACTGATTTTATGGTAGTTTTACTGTAATTTGATTAGTGTTACTGTCATTTCTTTAAAATAGCACAGTAATTATATAACATGGTTACTGTGATTTCAACCCATTTTTATCATAATAAAATCATAGTAGTCCTGTAGTAGAATTACAAAACGTTGTCATTTTACAGTAGTTCATGAAACTGCATACTTTGCTAGCTTTTAAAAGTTTAAATGTGAACTTGCAACTTAATTTACCAAACTCTCAAAAAATGCCTTATTTTTCTCATTAAAAAATATGCATACCCAAGTAAAAATAAAAGTATACTTTAGTGTGTTAAATCTTTAGAATACTTTGATTAATGTACTTTAACTGTACAATTTTGAAACAACTAATTTTGTGCTTATTATACTTTAATAGTATTTAAATAGTATTAAATTACAACTTTTAGTATATTTAGTATACTTAAACTACTTTTTTGGAACAACTTCAAGTTGTACTTAGTGTACTTTAAGTATACTTTTTATGTACTATTTATATATTTTGAGTGTACTAATTCTGTCATAGGATTATATTAAAAATATACTTTTAATATATTTTAAATATACTGCGAATATATTAGTAATGTATTTAAATTACATGTAATTTTTAGTTTTGATTTACAGCTATTGCTAATAAAGTACAATTTTAATTACTCATAAAAGTCTTCTTTATCCCTACTTTCCTATTTTGTACATTACATGCATAACTACACTACAGTACTTACATTGTTTTATGCTACAATTACATGGAAAGATTAATTACACAAGATGTTCAAGGTAATTCAAATATTTTGTTTTATTAATGACATTTTAAAATTGTCCAGTTTTACTCACAACTTTATGAACTTTACATAAATTATCAGTTTACACATCTAAAGTGAACACAATGAACATGAAAACTTAAGTGTGACAATAAAAAATGAAAGTGAGGATCAACAACAGAACATTCCCGTTCACTGCACCTTACAGAAACCTACAAAAAAAGAACAATAGAGCAATTAAACAGAAAGCATTTGTATTTAACGAGTACAGAAAAATGGCAAATAAAAAAATAATACTTACAATTTTAAGATGTTGTGGATTCGCCATGTATTGTATGTGACATCATCAGAATTGATGATTGGGACCCGATGCCTGGGGGGTAAAAACATTTCTGGATGTTCTCTTTACCTGTTTATGTTAGAAGTAAAAAAAAATAGTCAGCAATGTCATAGAATCAGCTGATGTTGGTATTAACTATGAAGCTGTTTTAAGCTTAAGTATTGAGCATACTTAAGGAGACAAATGACCTTAAAAGCTTTCCATCCATGATCTGAACACACTGATCCTTGCAGGGTGGTGAGGGGGGTTGGTGGTGCCCATCTCTGGCAGCCATCAGATGAGAGGCAGGGTTCACCATGGACAGGTCACCAGTCCATCACAAGGCCCTGAAAGACAACAATGAATAAAATGTATGAAAGAGAAATGTTAGATTAACAAGGGGAATAATTCTGTCCAGTTATCTTTAAATCAAATCATGTTTATTAAGCACTTGGTGCTGGTAACACAGCAGCTTTTGTTGTTGAAAATGTAGCTAGCTCCTCATTGAAAAAACAAAAACAAACTTGCATCATGAAGACAATGTGAAGGTTCATCCTCAGAGCTGCTTGTTGATCTGGTGGAGCCAGAGCTTCTTCTGAGACAGAAAAGTCTTTAAGTTTTCTAACACCTGATCTCTCTGGCTTCATCTTTCATCTTCATTTACTTAGACTGCAAATATATGTTGAAGATTAAAACATTGATGAACAAGTTATAACAACAACCTCACAATATCAAAGTCTCTCTGTCATACGGAGCTTAATTAAAACCAGGTTAAGTTTATGAATAAAAATATAAGTCGCAACAAACAGAGCCTCCATGCATTTATAACACGAAGTTGAATGATTGTTATAGTAGTAATCATACAAGTCACAATAAAATTGATAAAATAATTATTTATGAGACCAACGTAAGTTATATATCTTTACTGCACTGTTTATAATTAGATGAAGATAATTAATAAGCCAACTTACCGCTAGCTAGCAACACGTTAGCATCCTTCGTCCCTCCGGGCTCCTTTGGTGACACACATTTCATTTCCATCAGCTGTTGTCCAGTTGTGTTGTCGTCTAACTCGGACTAGGACGTCACCAGCTTGAATTTACCAAAATTAGTAACTATTGTCAAGGCCCTCGACTTTTAAGGCAATATTATGCGAGTAAAAATGGTGAATTTGGACAGCACCTGTTATCTTCCCTACGTTCAAGTTTTTTCTTCTCTTTATGGTGGGTAGGGTTAGGGCTAGAGTTAGTCACTGTCCTAACCCTAACCCCTCTGAGTTGTCAGTGTCATCACACTCCACATCCTGTCTCCTTAAATCACTGGCTTCTGAATGTTGTTTTTGTGATTTCCTCCTGACCACTGACTTTGAGGCATCCTGAAGTGTTTCTACAGGCAGGTCACTTATGGGAAGTAGCAGATTTCGTTGGAGGTTTCTTGTTTTGTTTTCATCTCCACCCTCAGGATAAACCATGTACACAGGATTCTCAGATACTTGTTCTTTAACAACATAAATAATCTTCTCCCAATATGACCTTAGTTTTCCAGGTCCACCATGCTTTCCAAGGTTCCGCACCAGTACATGGTCTCCAGGTTGGAGTACTGCCCCTTTCATCTTCTGGTCGTAGTACGACTTCCCTCTAGCACTTGACTGCTTGCTGTTTTCTTGAGCAATGCGGTAAGCCTGGGACATCCATTTTGACCATTTGACCAGTGGACTCATGTCTCGTACAAATGTACGCACGTACAATTTGTGGGAGATGGTCCTTTCAATCATCCTTCTCCTTTTCTGACAGAGTCCTTAACATCTGCAGCAATGTACAGTTAAACCGCTCAGCAGGATTACCTTGAGGGTTGGTATGGTGATGTTCGGGAGTGGCCAATGTCTGACAGCTGGCACAGAGTGCGAAACAGCTCGTTTTCAAACTCATGTCCCTGATCATGGTGTAATTTAGAAGGGAACCCAAATCATGGAATGAAGTCATTGAATATGCGTTCTGCTGCAGTCTGCCCAGACTTGTTTCTTGTTGCATATGCCTGTGCATACCATGTGAAATGATCGACTACCACCAGGATGTACTGATAGCCTCCTCTGCTGGCTTCAAGGTGAAGGTAGTCGATACACACAAGTTCCAGAGGGGAGCTGGTTGTAATGCTTCCCATGGGTGCACGAGTGTGACTCACAGGCTTTTTTTGCTCAATACATGGACACCTGTTGGTGACATATTCCTCAATCTCTCTTTTCATATAGGGCCAGTAGAACCTTTGCCTTGCCAGATTGAGGACCCCCTCAGTGCCAACATGCCCCATATCATCATGGAGATGTTTCAGAACAAGAGACTTGTATTTTATGGGCAGGACTAACTGCTATCTTTCCCCAACTCGCCTGTAGAGCAACCCATTTTCCAGATGCAGCTTTTTCCACTCATGTAGCATCTGCATATTCTAGGAGGTGAACTGAACTAAAAAGCATTTGTGTTGCACATAATGCTAGCTGAGAAATAACCGAAGTTAGCTTTAGCAAACAAGCGAGAGTTAGCTAATGCCATCAATGCCCCGGAGGACAGGGGAAAGTTCAGGTTGGTCTTTTAAAACATGTTCTTTTTATAGGCAAAACAGCAGCGAGCATCAAACCAGGTGTAACGCTAATCAACGGTTCATCAGGAGGCTATGACTTGGTAAGTTACTGCATCACCAGATGGACAGATCAGCCTGTGCAGTGCAGTGCAGCTTCCTGCCAGCAATCAAACAAAAGGACAAATCGGTCCAGGTATTAGAGGTGCAGCAGAGGAGAGGCCAGCACAGTTGTAACAACAGACAGAGATGGAGGCAGATGGATACAGACGTCACATCGCAAGCAGCCTCATGACAGGTGGAGACTTGCTTATATGCAGCAGCCAAAATTGGCCTTCTTAAAGTGCCAGCGTACCATTTATCCTGCTACACTATACACTAACATTATACTTGGACATACACAGCTTCAATTTCACATAATATTGCTATCAACGAGCTCTGTTTAACATGGTTTAATAAAAAAAAGTGGTATTAGATTAAAATATTTTAAAGTATAAGGACAAAATCAAAAACAACATATTTTGTCCTGATTCACATGGTTGACGCCAAGCAGTGATTCTCTTGTTTACAATATACAGGATAGTAACGACATTGCAGAGGACAAACTAAAGCCATTATATGTTTACACGCTCCCCCCTCAGGTCAGAATGATGAACTATTAGTAAATGATCCTGAATAAGGTGGATGAGATTAGCTGAAGTCCAGTTAGGTTTGGGGCTCATTTTTATAACAGATGGTGTGTGTGTGTGTGTGTGTGTGTGTGTGTGTGTGTGTGTGTGTGTGTGTGTGTGTGTTACTTTGGGTTGAGCCCCTCGGATCCTCCTTCAGGAATCAGCTTGATTTCCCAACACAAGGCTGGTGCCTCTACCACTTGTGCCTTTAATGCATTTGCTCAAGAGAATTTTATTGTCCTTTTTAATGTGTGCCTGTCAAAATTTCAGGGACATTCAGGATTCTTAGTTGTTGTTTTTTTCAGGAGTAAGCATAATAGTTTGCTGAGGTGTTGTTCATTCAGGTTTGAATGACTGTCTTCAGAGTTCATGCAAAGTAAATCATATCTACTATCAGCTGCAGTTGGACCTGCTGAACTTCTGACACCTGAATGTGTCTCAAGTGGCGGCTGTGGTTCAACACCACCACAGTTTTCCAACACAGACGCTTTCAACCACAACCCCTTGTGTACATTGAAAGAGTGGAGCTGTTCCACTCCACAGGAACCACAGACATCAACAAACTCCTTTCCTAATCGATAGCAGAGCTGACCGCGGCTCCAAGGTGCCCACAGAACTCATTCATCTGGAGACAAAACCAGACTGTAAACATGGACTGAGCATCATTAATCTTCAGCTTCTGCTCTGTTGTGATACAAACAAAGTATTAAACACATGTAGGGTCAGATAACTAGAGCGCTCCACAAGGACACAAACTGTAGTTTTGTTGAAATTTGAAAAGTTGTCCTCTTATTCCAACTCTTATATATCCTGCTGTTGATTTAGAGTCTTTGTCTAAACAAAGAACTCAAAATGTCTCAGTAGAAATTCACAGTATGTAAAGGTTCATGTTGTACAGCCTAAAGTGGTTTTAGGACCAAGGAGCCATGGGTTTGAGATCTGTTCCTTGTTAATGTCCTTTATTCTGCATCTAAGTTTTGGCTGAAATAAAAAAAAACCTCCAAAGTGAAAAACAGCAAATTCCTCTGGTTAAATCATGTGTCCTCAGCTCTCTGCCAGGCTGCAGATGGAAGTGATTTCAGCTCCAACTCAGAGTCTTTTATCAATACATTCACAGGAACAGGACAGGAGTTTCCCTGCATACATGGTAAGCTAGCTTCAGTTTCAGGATACATAATGATGTTTTGCTGAATTTAAAACAGTGAAATGTGAAATCTGTGATATTTTATCCCAAACCTTCTTAAACCTCGGAAGTAGTAGAGAGTGTAGGACCTGGGCTCGAGGATTGTGCAATCTGATAGATTAGAATTCTGGTCCATATTCCAAGGAGTACATCATGAAAAAAATCCCTATGAAATACTTATAACATTTATTTAACCAGATAAAAAAAAACCTTGTTGAGATCTACAATCTCTTTTTGAAGAGGAACCTGGCACTTCCTTAACATGTCATAAGAACATTTGTTGTACTTGCATCATCCAATTTCAGTGATACTCTTATCCAGATTTGACCTATGTTGAACATTCAGCTTCAGTACATTTAGTTTTAGCATGTAGAGTCAAAATCTAAATTGCCCTAAAATAGAGAAGCATGCAAAAACGATCCATGCACATTGAATTCCAAATGTTGTCATCCCTGTTTTGACCTCCAGCTTAAGTGTTGCCCCATCACTAAATCTAACCTATAGAGGAAGTTGTTACAAAATGTTTGTGTATGAATTTCCAAAAAATGTTTTGCAGTCTAGATACATTGTCATTTTAGCAGTTTGACTTTTCACATCGACGCAAGAGGACTTTTTGTGTTTTTCACATTATAATGTAACTTTTGATTCGGTGTTTCTCTTCAGTTGTCTAATAAACTTTAATAAGTGGCAATTGGCTTCCAGATCTGTGGACACTTACTGGACAGGAGAATTCAAACCAACAGAGAGAGACGTGTGGAGACGGAGCTGCGGTAAAAAAAATGCTTGATTAGTTCATGTATTTGCAAAAAAGGTTGCCAATCAAGTT